CACTGCCTTCTGCAGTGCATGGTCAGTGCAGGTAAAGGATGATTCTGGGTCAAAAAAGATAGCTGAAGAATGAAAGACAATAGTATCTGCACCCAGGTTTACTTGCATATGTGTAGTTCTAGTTTAACATGCTTCAGAAAACATCCTAGGGTGAAACAAGAAACTTATACCTATAGGTTTGCTGGCTGCCCAGAATTGTGCAGTACTGTATATAATATCTATACTCACAGGAAGTTATTCATTCTCCTTTTTAAAATGAGATTGGCTTTAATTAGGTTAAACTTGAAACTAAAGCAAAACTGCCTTGCAGCTGTTTAAGTCTGTGAAAAGCATTTACCTGGTCTGTGTATTTTCCTTGAGTGTTCTCTGCTACATTAATGCATCTGCTGTGGGTCTGGATCATAAATAAGGCACACTGCAGCTGCAAATATTTTAAAATAAAATATTATGGTACACGTGCTTAAAATGGTATGGATTTTTCCAGGCATCTCTTCTATAAAAGATTGACTGTGTATACAGAAAGATTCATGGCAGGAGGTCCTGAGAAGCAGTAATTTTTTCACTTCTTTCTTACATCTTCCAAGTCTCTTGAATGATTCATTGTGCATTGAATCATTGTGCATATGCTACATACATTCATTATTGGGTTTAGTTATAACTGTAGGCAATTAAAAAAGATATTCTGGCAAAGGCAAAATCCATCACTCTCCATGAAATGAGTATTCTCTTTTCTCATGCAGAAACAAAAGCAGTGACAGATGTACACACTTTACTTTTTCCCTCACACAGACAGCATTATAAAGGAACCATTCAGATTCAGCTGTTTTAATTTACAGAAGCAGCACATTTGACCTCAATATGTAGAATGAGGCTGTGACCATTGAGCTGGTCAACAGAAGCCCCTGAATATCATGCAAGAGATGCTCTGTGTTTGGCAGAATTTGGCCTTCCTAAAGCTATAGACAAAATGTCTGCCATGTTTCTATATATAATAAGTTACATAGTTTCTAATATTTATATTTTAATATATGTAAATGATACCTATTAATGTATTAAATCTATATTATTATTTTAAAACTGAAAGTAGTTTTCATTGTGTTATTTCCTTCTTCTTTTTTTTTTAAATATATATTGAAAAAAATATAATTAAACACTGAGAAAGGCCTTAAATTTTGAAGGTGTCCTAAACCTCTTTCTGCTACTTCACTCTGCCTCCTGAGATTTCACACAGGTACTGTAGACCTCAGTATTTATCATTTGGACTTTTCAAAGTTGAATTGGGAGCGTGCTGGTTCTGTTAATCATTTGTTCATTTTTCCTAATCTTCCATCAGAACTTGAATCTGTATTAACCAGGGTCAAAGGTGATATAGAAAATAGCTAAGTATATAAAAATACAAGATGTTCAGCATCTTCTGAGAAGTACTTTGTTATACACTGGTCCTTTAGATCATTCAGCATCAGGCAGGATCAAAACTGATGGAAAACAAAATTTCAAACTCATGAGCACACAAAAGTTTTTTGGCTTCAGTTTGACTTTTAAATTTAGTAAATATTTTTTTCATCCTAATAAAATTATCATTTTTCTGCACAGAATAAAAACAAAATAGTGAAACTTAATCTATTATTTACCTTTCAGAAGGTCTTCCTCTCATGCCTTTCACCAATTATTCCTGAAGGGTACAAATTATTCATACTTGCAGTTCCCAGGTGTTTTCCTTAAGCTCTTACCCGTGATAAATCATCCTTGCATCCAAATATACATTCCACTGAGCTCTAGGAAGGGAATTTGGTATACAAGGAGACTTGTAATTGTCCATGACAGTTGATCAGTACAATTGCATGGGGCCTAGTGACAATTCATTGAATTACTTTGGATGCCTTACCTGAATCATGAAGTGTCAGATAGTTGGATGATAGTTCTCCCAGAGGTTTCATATGGTATGCAATCAAATCATTAATAGTGCTTGAAAATGAGCATGCACACAAAACAGTAGGAGATTTATTTAAAAGATGCCAGGTCATAGAAATGTAGTCCAGACATTCAAGACAGCTGCAGTATGTACATCTTAATAATTTTTTCTTCATTTAGCAAGCTGCAGCTTACTACAGCTGTAAACAAAGACAATTAGGTGATCTCTATACTTGGAGGACATACAAATTTATAAGGTCATAAGCAGATGATGAATGAAAGGCAAGGTGGAATGTGCCAAGAATATGTTATGCAGGAAAAGTCCCTATAAGAATCTGAATGTATCAAATGAGTGCTGGGATTTCATGGTAACTGGTGCATTGTTGAAGATATTGATGGTATTTTAAGAATTGAATAGCAAACTAGTCATGTATAAAGTCTGCTTAGCTCTAGTTTTGAATGATAGTCTGACGACAATTTCAGTGCATATGTTTGCATAAATGCACTATTCTCTTAAGGGTCAAATTATGTCATCTTTCCCCAATATGGAATTGCACAACAAATGAGTGGATAGAACTTCTGCCACACGAGCTCATGTGGCACTAAATTTTGATGTATTGTTCATTATATCATGCCTGATAAATGGTTCCATAGAAACCAATAGGGCTTTTTCTCTATAATGTCATGACTAGTTCTGGAAGAGCACATTATACAAATTGTAGTGGATAGGTCAGATCTTTCCTCATGAGTAGAGCAGGGTTTTACAGTGAAATTCATTTTAATCAGGAAAAGCTATTTTGTATATTTATTTAAAATGTTAAAATATGTATTGGGAAAGGTTGTGCTTATTGAAAAACTGGAAGGACATGAAAAACAGAGAAGTAAGAAACAAGATGCATTCATTAAGGGAGGAGCAGAAAGTTGGCACCAAAAAAGGACTATAATTATTGACCTAGATTTGGTGCCGGGTGCCCACTATGCTCCATCACTCCCCTTCCTCAGCTGGATGTGGGAGAGAAGATATGCTGAAGAGGTTCGTGGATCAAGATAAGGCCAGAATGATCACTCAGCAATTATCATGGGCAAAACATTCTAGTCGCTGGCTGCTCCTGAACAAAGATTCGAAGAACAGAGTTGCTCAAGCCTACCTAGGTGGATTTTACTACCCTGAATTCAAATTGAATTTCATATGGAAATTACTAGTTAAGTAAAACCTTGACTTTGTTTTTGTTTGTGTTTTGGTGTAAACAAAGAAGCAAAGGAAACAGAAGATCTGTCTCTTTTCTACTCAGAAGCTCCACCAACAGAGGTTATGCAATGTGTATTCTCAGTCTCAGCCTAGTCTCTGATTACTCCTTTCTGCAGGTGGAGTAAGTACTGCTCCAGATATTCTTAGGTTTGGGATGTTAGCTGAAGATGTAAAACCTTCTGGTGGAAATCAGGCCAATTATATTCTGTACTGTGTGTTTCTAAAGGCCATACAATTTCTTTCCCTTTTATTCATTTCTTTAGCAGCCTACAAAGGCTCAGAAAGCTACAGGTTGCCCTGTAATATTGGTATCTGTAGACAGAATGTGAAGTCTGTTTAGAATCTTGAATGCTATGAACATAACTTTGCTAGCCACTTTCCCAGCACTGTTCAAGTGGCTAAAATTCAAGCAACAGAGTTTGACTCTCATTGTGTAGCTGCAAGTGACTAAACAGGAGTGAAAGTGCAAACTAGTTGGGCCCAAGCTCCAAACTCCAGGTAGTTCTATTTTATGATAAATAATACATTTGATTCATTTTCAGTTAAGTAGTTTATTTGCTTTTTATATAATGCAATCATAAGGCATGTGTTGTATTTCTCAGATCTGAATAAATTATTTCAAATGACCCAGTAAAATCCATGATTAATTACATTAGAAAGCTGAAATCGGATTCTACTTTGTGGCTGGTCAAAAATACAGTTTCATTACAAGATTAGAAACCTTTTAAAATTAAGTAGCAACAGGCATCCGTAGATGCAGGAGCTAACACTAACATAGTTAAGGATGTGTAATTACTAAACGGTATCTTGAGAGGGTTATACCTTGGCCACAAATCTTTGTCTTGTTTTATATTGTATAGAATAGAATCTTAGTGACAAGGTGAACTTAGTTTTATTTTAACTTTGTAAACTTTCAAAGGTGTTTTCCAGAATGTTATCCTTCAGTTTGAAGGCTGAATTTGTAAGCATTTGGCCCGTGATTTTCTGTTGCAATACATTAAGCCGCTTTTCTTCCCCTTTAGTGGTTTGTATAGGCAAGATTGAAGATGAGCAGCTAGGATCTAAGAAAATCCTGTGTTGGCTGTTTGTCTTTGAATCTGTCTATTCATGTTTTGCATGAAGACTTTCATATCATTCTTTTTTTAGGAGCATCGCAGAAAGACTTCAGTGGACTTTCATGTAGAATTATATCCTAATTTTCCTTTTGGATTTTCATTCATATTTTAATATTCAAGTAACTCAATAATATTAGCCCAAATCTTGGTAATATTGTTTTGCTCTATTAAAACACATGACACATGGACTAAATAAAATCTTGTATTCTCTATATGCAATTACTTTTAAATAAGATTTACTACAAATCTCCCAAGATGATGCAATAGAATCCAAATTTGATACTAACAGTCATTAGATATAAGGAAGAAGCTCTTTACTGTGAGGGTGGTGAGGCACTGGCATAGGTTGCCCAAATAAGTGGTAAATTCCCTATTCCTGGCAGTGTTCAAGGACAGGTTGGACAGACCCTTGGGTGACATAGTCTAATGTGAGGCGTCTCTGCCCATGGCAGGGGGACTGGAAGCAGACGATCCTAAGGTCCTTTCCAACCCTGACTGTTCTATGATTATACCTAAATGCCAAACCTCTATTATTAAAAGTTACCACACAACACCAGCTTCTGTTACTACTGTTACAGTCCGGTGTCTATGCAGAATGAAATACAGTTATAAGATGTTGTATTCATCAATGATCTTTATGGGATCTGCCTAAGTGGCACTAGATGTATAATCAAAATTTGGGGCAAGACATACAACGACTTTAATATCAGCTTCACACATCTCTGATTCTACAGCCGGCTAGGTGCTGAGTGGACCTTCCAGCTCAAATTAAATTGGCCTGCTGCATCAGAAAGAATCAATTCCAGAAGTGTCTAGAACATGTAACTTTTCTTCTTTCTCCAGGTAAGTACTTTTATTCCCCAGAGACTACAGTGGTGGTTATTCCATTTCTTTTTTCTACTAGGCAAAACCTGAAAGAGTGAGCACAATCAGCTTTTCAGCTGGAAAAATGTAAAATGTCAGAAAGAGGTAATTTTTTTTGCTAGATCTTTCTGGTGCCTAATAGGAATGATAAGATTCTATTGCATGTCCTTTAAAAACTAGGTCTCATTTTGCTCCTTTGTACTTAGTTCCTCAATAAAAAGATGATTGTTATACCTTAAAACTCAGAGTAATATGCTGGCCCTCCTTCAGCTGATGAAAATAGTTGCAGTAGCTTTTCCGTGCTATCTAATATGCTATTACTGTAGCATGGAGGCATAGGCACATAGAAATATATATGAGTTTTTTTTGATTCACATTGTGAGTGTCCATCGAGTAGTATATTGATGAAGAGTAAGCGATGCTCCACTAGCTTCCAGCTGAAACAAGGTCCTTTTATTGGTCTAAATGTAGGCAGGGAAGAGTGGATCAAGTAGTCACAGTGTCTGGACTGAAGCTCCAGCTGGTGACTAAGTAGTGTGCAGCTGCTCACTCAGCTCCTCCCCTGTGCTCCCCCCCACCCCCCCCCCATAGGATGGGGAGGAAACCAGGAAAAGGTAAAACCTGTGGGTTGAGATAAGAACAGTTGAATAATGGAAATAAAGTAAAATTTAACAACAGTAATAGGAAAAAGAGAGAGAGGAATGAAACACAAGTGATGCACAATACAATTGCTTACCACGCATTGGTGGGTATCCAGCTTGTCCCTGAGTAGTGATGAGTGACTTTCAGCCAATTCCCCCTAATTTCTATACTGAGCATGATTTTCTATAGTAAGGAATATCCCCTTGGCTTGTTCAGGTCAGCTGTCCTGGCTGTGCTTCCTTCCTAACTTCTCGTGCAGCTCTCCATTGGCAGAACATGGGACACCAAAAAGTCCTTGATTTAGCATAAGCACTACTTAGCAACAACTAAACATCGTTGTGTTATCAAAATTTTCATACTAAATCCAAAGCACAGCACTGTATGCCAGCCAAAGCCAGGACGCATAGGGAAGACATCCCCAGGCTTTAAAGATCACCTCAGACAGCTTGTCTTCTTTCTTTTTCACTTTCCCTTTCTGTGAAGAGACAGTAGATTCCTTCCACATTGCCTTTTTCATCTGTAGAACTTCCATAATTCCTATTACATTTCCTGGAAATAAGTCAACTGAAACCCAGGCAAGTGTGCTGCAGAAGATAGAGTTTCATTTCCCTCATGATCTTGGACATCTTCATCTTTGATCAGTGGTGAGTATGCTTGTCACTATTATGATTTAGTTTTATTTTGTTTTTTCTTCCTTCCTTCCTTCCTTAATTTGATCCCATTAATCTTTAGTCCGTTCTTATTCACTTGTGTGTGTTCTGAAATTCAGGAACCACCAAAACACTTTCAAGAATCTCTTCACCCTGCAGCTGATAAAACCCCTCTGAAGAAAACCCCCTATGGAAATCAGTTGAAAGATTTCTCCATTTAACCTGAAATTCTGTGAGAGGCAACTGTAAAGTAAGCCAGTAGGTCTGAGAAACCTACACAGATAAGAACTGCAGATTTTTACTGCCAGATGTATCTTTAGCTCAAGGTCTCCTTGAATCAAAGATGTATTGAATTTTTATGTTTGATCTAACTAACACATAGGTAGAAAACTCCTTTAAAAATTTCCTTTGCAGTAACTAACTCTCTGATTTTCACAATATATTGTCTTGATTACTTAGGGCACAACTGAATAACTTACTGTTGTTTTGTATTGCCTATTTTTTTTTCTCTAAAAATCTGTCTTCTGAGGGTGCTAATTCAAAACAATCTGTTCTTAAAACAACAAACCCACGAGCTTCATGTCCCTGAAATTAAAGGAACTAGTTATTTTGAGCTATAAAACATTTCTGATGTAAAACTATAACTACCTCATTATGGTGTGGGAAGACAAAATAATTAACACATTCTGTGGCTTTCATAAGTAGTTTTTCATAATTCAACTCTACCATTTGGGATGGTCATCAACATGTTTTCCAGTATACTGTGTGCTGTAATTATCTGCTTTTAGGGAAGTGCTGTTGAAAGTATCCTATAAAAATACATTTTCTAATTAATTTTGGTTTTTGTTGTGGCTTTTTTTTTCCCTTTTCACTTCCAATCTGAAGTTTGTTTATAGGAAGAACTTATATGAACTACAATCAATTTATACCACCTGTGTGATTGGTTCTACCTGTTATCTATCTACCAGTAACAATCTCCCTGAAAACTGGAATAGAAACGCAAGCTCCTTCCTTCTTAGGATATCATAAAAATGTAGTTGTACCACTTCCCCTCCATTACTGAGTTTTGGGAGTTTATTTGCTCCCCAGTCTCTCCCATCTGCATAATCCCAAACAGAAAAAGTGAGACCAAGACATTGTAAACTGTTGGTTGCAGAGGTGCGAGTAGTTGGAGGATACTATCAGTAGCGCTTACAGTCACAGAAAGGAGCAGTGTTTGCTTCTCGGGTTTCATTGACTTCTGGTCTGTGTCTCTCCATCTGAACTATCTTTATTCCTGTACCATTATACAGTGGACCCACAAATGTCATAAAGTTAACTTTCCAAGAGAATTACAATGATGCTCTGCAAGACCTGCTTTTAAAAGTATTTAAAAAACAACCTTTTTGTAGGTTAATAGTTTTATATAATGACTTATTTTTTTAGCTGTGCTTTGAAAAAGTTGCTTTGTGTGTATATCTTTAAATAAAAATAGCTGATCATTCACTATTAGTTTTATGATTTATTGCTTAATTTCATACAAAATTAATTAGAAATAATAGCTGGTATACTTTATCTCTACAGCAAACATTGATGGAATTATAGCTACCAGAAGGCTTTATTATGATAGCACTGGCTAAAGAAAATAATCTGTGAGGCTTATACTCAGAATATAATTTTTGGTGATTTTGAAAATGAAGCAAGGGCTAGGATAGAATTACTTTTTTGTTTGTTTTGTTCTGCAGGGACACCTGTTAATTTCTGTTATATGTTAGGTGAGTGTAACTGAGGTTGGATTATTTTGCTTTATGGTGCACACAATACCTTCTGCTTTGCTTATGACAATCAAGCCTTAGTGTCCTTTACTTTGATGCCTGGTAGTTGTGGAGCAGAGAATGAAGTAATGCAAGGCAGCAGCATGTGGTGTTTGCCTTGTCAGAGTGTACTCTTGATGGTTAAATCCTTTTGTTCCTCATTATTTCTGGCCAGAAATGTTCTCTTCAGTTCCACAAAATGGGCAGAAAACTCTAATTCAGGTCTCCCACCTTGGCTTTTGTTGTCTTGAGCTGCTGACAATGGCATAGCAACAGAGGGACTGAGCAAAATGAAATGAGCGGTAGTTGATATTGCTGCCCAACACACAGTGACACCTGTGTTGCTGGAAGTGGTGAAGACAGACACCACTTCAGGATGTTTTTAAAAATGTTTAAACTATTTATTTAGGTTTTCCTTGGAGGTTTAGGAAGTGAGGGAACGTGTAGTGTGTTCTTCACTTCCAAGGGTTTCCACCTTTGCATGGAGGACTTTGAAGGGACATCCAGACTCCTGCAACCCCAATGCAAGCACTGTCTTCCTTGTATGGTGATCTAAAGCATTTACTTATCTCTTTACCATCTTGCACCACACTGATCCTGCTGGTGTTGCTCTTGCTAATAAATGACATGCGTGCTGTATAGACCAATAGTCCTGTGTTGTTTTATATCCCTTTCTTGTAACTGTAACTCATCTTCAGATATAGTCTGTAGCACTTAATCTTTTTAATTGCGGAATTAATTAAATTGGGTTCCTTGATCTTATTTCTTTCTTGCTATTGCATAAGCAGGGCCATAATAATATACAGACTGTTCTGGAAAACAAGAATGGGATTAACTCAAATGAAGTCCTGATCTCACTAAAGCAAGTGAGTAAAGGCTCCTAAATCAAATTAAAAATCCTTAAGTTTTTCCTCAATACTTTAAAAAAAGCCCTTTTTCTCAATACAAATGAGATGTTCTCTTCCTGGATCTGTCATAAGTTACAAATTAGGTGCTGGGGTATGGGATGATGGTGCTGGATGTCTCTCCAGTAAGATTCAGGGTTAGCAGAGCAACACTGTTGGTATGGGAAAGCCACAGAGCGTTGAAGCCTTCACGTAACCTATCATTTAGTCAATATCTTGAACTCTTACCCTAGATACTTTGGGTCTTAAAGGATGGACTTTCCCTGCTAGTTTGCAGGTAGGCTGAAGTTGTTTAAGGCATTTCTTGTGCTCTGCTACTTTTCTTGACTATTTTTGTGTCACCTGGAATTTACAGAGGAGAAGCTACAAAACTGTCACTCATTCAGGTAAAATCATGCCTGTTCATGAACGGCTTAGAAAGGCATTATAGGGATCATTGGCTCATCTTTTTTTCATTTTCCCCTAATAAAACTGCAATGCCTGAGCAGAGATCTCTAAACAAGACTCTATTGCTGTTGTGAATGACACTTTGACTGTGATAAGAAAATGTTATCAAGTAGCAACACTTTATTATTTCTTAACAGTGATCAGATCATCAGAAAAGAAATTACTGACTCTGAGTTTAAACCAGAACAATATGAGCATGTGGGTCTGTGCTTTACTAAACTTCAGTTTCCTAAAATGAAACAAAATGCCATTTGGTGCATCTGTGTTCCTTTCATGCTGCCAGTGGAATAGTCTGCTTTACCCACAGAGGACATCCACTACTTTCACCTCATTAGTTTTACCTTAGCCACAAGGTAGTCTTAGGTCCTTTGTGGATATTTAAACTTCTCTGACAATAAATATTGAAAGATTACTGTGTTGTGTAGTGCAGATGTGCTTCCTTCTCTACAATGTTTCTTTAAGTAACACCTCACCTTTGTAATTTCACTAATTAGCTAAAATTTATTTGCTTACTGTGAGATGAAGTCAATGAAATGATAAATTCTTCTGAGCTACCTGAGGAAATACTCTCTTAGAAGTACAGTTCTGACCAAGTAGAATATTTCTTCTTGATATCATCATTCCAAGTATCTTTCCCCCCAACTGGAAAAAGCAACTTATCACAAAGACAAGACAGGAGGAATAAACAAATATGCAGTCTTAATTGATGTCAGTCTATAAGGACCCAGCTAAAACAGTCTCTTGTCCATATCCTGGGAAGCTTTAAATTTAATCTACTGCATCATGTTGATTTACTGGAATAATCTTGCCTTCAATTTACTGAACATGTCACCCTTCCTAATGGATTTTTGATTGTTTTCAGATTCCTCCTCCTGATAGAGAAATCATATCTTGTTGGTGGGGGTTTGTTTGTTGTTTTCCCCCCCCCCCCTGAATTTCTCAACATTGAAAGAGCCACTCTAACATTATCATGTAAAGTTCCTGTTTTTCTGACTATACATAATATTTCTATGTATGCACTAAAATTCAGGCTTGCAAATTAACAGCTTTAAAAAACCCAAACAAAACCAGCAACAACAAAAGCACGACCAACAGGCCTAGAGTAGTTAGGGCAAAATGTCTGAACTGAGAGATTGATATCCTGCCAGCTGAATCTGTTTATTCTCCATAGTTTCTTAGGCTTTTGTGTTGTTTTTTTGGTTGTTTTTTTTTTTTTTTTGGGGGGGTGGTGTTTGTTTAGGCTTTGGCTGGGGTTTTTCGGGTTCGTTTTGTTAAATCGGTGAGATTGCTTGAACTAGTGCCTGAAAGAAATGTCCCTCGCATATATTTATGGTTTTTAGATTTTTGACAAAAAGTGTTGGCTTTCCTAAGATAAAGATTTGAGGTGACTATTTTTTCTTTTTTTTACCTTTAAATTTAAAGAATCTGGATGGATTTAAAGGATATATAACTGTTAATTAATGCAACAAACTTATGAAACATAAGCAAAGAAAGTAAAGAAATAAGGGGATGAAACAAAAAGATCTCCCAGGTTCAAGATACCTGAGTCTGGGAAGACACCTGACTGTAGGTATCTGTAGATACACTTCTTAAAATCTTCTCTAGGCTTTATAGATCCCTAAGCACCTTTGAAAAGTCCAGCCTATGCTGACTCACATTTATTGAATATAGTAATCGAATGGGGAAAAAAATTGCCAGGAGCAATCTTCTCTATACATTGGCAAAATGTGTCAATATAATAGATGTTGCCTCAGGATATATTATTGTCTCTATGGAGAACTTATAGTGTTATGGCTTGCATGGGTTTTAGTAATCAAAGCATCCCAAGATACTGAAGTACTTGTTCTAATGATAAGTAAGAGATCAGCTCTCACGCTGCTCTATCTTTGTGGTTACTCCTGCTGGCAATTAAAAATCAAAATGAGCATAGTATATACTTAACTTTTTCTGGTGCTCAGTGGGGTTTGTAGTAACTTTTCTGTGTCATTTCTCTCATATACTCAAACTTCATTGTTCTGGGGGCTGGGGTGTTTGTGGGATTTTGGAGGTATGCTATTTGCCTCTGGCTTATCAAAACTGTATGTTGAAATCATGTTCTCTGAGGAAATTGACATGCACTGGAGACTAAGTTATAAGTCAGTACAACTTTATGTAAGGTAGTGAAGCAATACTATGTGTGCATATTTTACTACTCTGTGCAGAGCATCTCATTAGTACAGCTATACTATTTTGAAGCCAAGCTTAGGTTCAAAGCTGACTGGAGTAGTTCCCTGTGACCTGGTACTTCATCAGGTATTAAGTTTCAAGGAGTCATTCTCACACTGAGAGAAAGACCACTATGTCTAATTTGGCATATAATTTTTTATCCTTTCTGTTGTATACCTGCTGACTGCACTGAATAAATATAAAAGCAATTTAATAGCTATTCATGATGTGATGTCAAAAAGACCTCAAAAAAGAAGGCTTGCATTTTTCAAGCTAACCAACTTGCCATACTGTTACTTCCCAGCTTATGTAGAATATATGTCATGTCACATTTCTAAGCTCTTGGTGGCTGATCTAGCTGTTCTCTTCCTACAGTCTAGTCAGCTCTCCTTGTCTTAATGCACATTGCACTAGGTATGATAGCTGAGATGAGCAATTTTACAGAAAGTAATTTTCTTCCAGCTGAGATAAATTCATAGGTCTGTGGTAACCATCTACAGCACTTGAGATAACAATACCCCCCACTTGAATGAATTATCCTGCCCACAAAACTTTACCTGCAATGGAAGACTTAGGTTGTGGCTTTTCTAGACCTGCTGTGTTGAAGTATAAGGATATTCTGTGCATTCAGACTCCTCTGAAAGTGTCCCAGAAAATAGCACTTTGGCAGATGGCTTCCAACAAAGTAAGAACATTCCATTAAAAATGGAAGTGTCCATACCAACATGTCTCTTCTGAGGAAGAGTACGCTACAAAATGAAAGATCTGGCAGGTGTCAGGAACAACTGATGAGCTTGGGCACCTGAATAAAAAGCTGTAAGACTGAAGTAGGTAATTCTCACTGATCAGTCACCTGCTCATACTCATTCCATTATTGCTGGCAGCCCAGAAATTGAAATAGGGTTTGGAAGAGACTTGTGATGGACTTCAGAATTGGATTTCCATTGTATTTTTTCTAGGTCGCACAAAAAATGTAGCTAACGAACCTGTGACTGAACTGCAGTTATTACAAGGTCACAGCAAAACTGAGCCTCCTGAACTGACAAGGTGGTAGGTAACCCATTATGTGAGACAAATTCTATTTCATTCCTTGAGTATGCATTATAATATCATTAATCATGATGAATTTTTCA